AATCAACTTTGTTATTTCTAATTTAACGATAATAAATTATTCAAGAAAAATGATTGGTTGACCTGAATTTTTATCAGATTGGATCAGGTCAGGTCAACTTTTTGACCTAACCTGATATTAACCTGAAAATCTATTGACCTGACCTGAATTTTCAGGTCAGTTTAGGTCAGGTAAACAGGTTGATCTGATTTGATTCAGAGCTCTAACTCCAGTACAATGAAATTTAGCTTTCATATATTCTATACTGAAGCCTAAGCTATGGAACTGCTAACTTAACAATACTAGACCAATCATATTACTTGAAACAGTCAGAAAAGCATTTCATATAGGCCAATTTCACTCGTTTTCAATTCTGTTACATGTGATGATTACATATTTACTATGCATATATTTGTTACACTTCTAATCTTTTTTCGCGTCTTGACAGTTTATTAATTTTTACGACAGTAAACACTCAAGTAATAGCAAATCAGTCATCTATTTGTTGCAAGTTTTGCTTCAAAGCTTATATAACTAATCAAAAATTATTTGTTTATGAAAGGAACAAACATTTACATAATAAAACAATACCTCATTTTTACTCACTTCCTCAGCCTTCTTCAAAGAAAATGTTTTATTACATTAATGCTTTTATAGTTCTTATTAAGAAAAAACTTAGTTTTACTAGTTTTTCAATTGATACCTTTTCAGAAAACGTGTTTGTATATCTTTTTAAAGATGAAGAAATGTTTAAATATAGTCCTGCTAGACATAAATATTAATGTTGTTTTGAAGGATCTACAGGTGCAGCTAAACTTAAGAAAATATTTCGCTATGATCAGTGATTTTTCCGACAAAATTCTCTCACTAATACTAAAGGTTATATTTTACTTGAAAATTATGAAAATACATATCAAGTTAAATTTACATGGAATCAAACAATATTATCAGAAAATAATAGAGAATTCATATTAGGAAGAATGTCTTGTAATTTTATTGCTGATTCTGGAGAATTTCAAGAAAAGTAAGTATTGTTAACACGAATAGATTTATTTTTACAAACATTTGTTTATTTTTCCTATTATATAGTGATGAACAAATATTGACACTGAGTAATAATTCAAAAACACCTGATCAATCATCTCCTTCAAATTCTTTGAAAAAACCTGTTAAAAGTAAATTTTGTTATATTTTGCCTTGGCCTTCACTTCAGAATATAAATCAATCTAGTAAGTTTAAATTTTACCTTTTTAATCCTTATTTTCTTTATCTTTTGCATTAATATGTCGCATCAGAATTTCATATGGAGTATTATTAATCAAGTAATACAATTGACGATTTTCAAATTCCATTATATTATATACTATAGGTTTCCCTTTAATCCTACTATCCATAGTAGTTTCACCAAAAAATAATCAGACCTAAATTAAAATTTAAATAAGTATATTATTTTTGCTTAATAACTGATAATGTAATTTATTTATATACATTATATCTGATTATGATTCTTTTTTTCAATACTTGAAGTAGAAAAAAGTCGCAATGACAAATTATTTTCTTTTATTCTTTTCAAAAATTCTGAAATATGCTGGAAAAAAACATGCATATACGGGGTTACTTCTTCCTTTTGTATAAACTTGGTATTTGTGATGCTGAATTTATTTGGCCTTGATTTGGTCGACAAAATAAACAAATCCATTGTTTCGCTCTAATTTCAAAATTATTGATTTCAGAATCTGTTATATTTAGCTTTCTTAAAACTATGTATAGATCATAAAAATCACGCCAAAGCTTTTGAATATCTTTACTCTGTTCTTCTGAAATAAAATTAGTAATAGGAAAATGTTGTAGAACTTTTTTCTTATCAGGTTCCATTAATGAAATCCAGTCCCAATGTGATTTTAATTTAAAAAATTCAAAATGAATCTTAATAGATTTCATGACTTGTTCAATTTGATTTTTAATTTGCTGTTTAAATTCCTTCTTGTTGAATAATTCATTAAAAAAACACTATTAATACATCTGAGATACATAATAGTAGATGTAATTCATCTGAAATGTAATTTTCTTGTTTAATAGCAAGAAATAGTGTGGGTTTTTTTTGACCTATTAGAATTTTTAAAATTAAGTTTATATGCTTATTTAATAAAATTATTTTTAATTGACTTATACTTACATTTTGTATTTTCGTTAATTGGCTAATGTAAATTCATATTCCAACGATTACTAGCTTTACAATTACAATACAAATAAAATATTTTGAGTTTGATGCATTTAGCCCCATTATATTATACATAAATTTCCAATCGCCAGAGAAAAAAACTCGATTAGCCAATATACACCATCATTATCGTAAATTCCATTTTCTTAAAGATCCTGAAGTTGGTGCTTAAATAGATGTTCAACTTTAGCTAATGTTTCATATCGCTCTTTACCTATATAAAGATAAATACTATTTCTTTTATTTAATAATTGTTACAAACAAGAAAGTTATAAAATTAATATTACCAATATTGATGATCTGATTTTAGTACATCATCTTTTTTATTTAACAAGTAAATAGTTATCATTATATGATTCTGTTTGCGACTTACGTTTCATCCATCTTTACCAAGCTTTAAATTAATTGTATTTCCTACTTGAAGTACTCGTGGATTTAATTTATTCCAAATAGGAATTAATATTTGAAAAAGAGTTCAGATGGATTGATAAACTCCATTACTAATTTCTTGTTCATCAACTATGATTCCATCAGTATTGTCTTGAGATTCTTCTTCATCAAGTATAGATTGTTGATCAAGTTCTTTATTAAGATTAAATGTTCCGATTTGTATTTGATCATTAATTGACTTAGTAATTTCAATTCTCCTTTGTGCAATTTGATATTCACGTATTAATTGTGCTTTTACAGCAGCAAGTCTTCGATACCCATCACGGCCCAATAAAGCTTCATCACAAGCATATACATATGCATCTAATTTTTTGATCTAAAGATAAACAATATTTTATATTAATAATTTGATTTTCATCTTCCAATTTCATATTACGTATATGAATTAGTTCTTCAGATTCTGAAATCATTCGATGTTGTGAAATAAGCTGTTTAATTTTTTTGTGAGCATCTCTTCCAAATAATGCATATCGTTTATTTTGCTGTGATACTGATTGCACTTTATTAAGTGGTTTTTTCCTCTTATCGATAATAGTTTTTGCTGTAGATGATTTTTTAGACTATTCAATTTGTGCTTGATGTAATATTTCAATATCAAATCCAAATACATGTATTCTAGAAATTTGAGAATTTTCACGATTAGTTTTCTATAATATTATAAAATAAATAATAAAAACGCGTAAAAATGTGTATTTGATTTTTCTAAGTATTGTAAATAATATTAATTTAATATCCTGCAAATAACTAATTAAAATACCTTTAAAAATGCATTTATAGCCCCAGTAGCAGACCGCTCACTAGATACCATCCATTCTGCTTGACCTTCTTTCCATTTAATAGTATATAAAATTTTATTTGCCAAAGTGTATTTTGTTTCACAACATAGCATTTGATTTGCAATTTCTGTCTTTATAATATATTCATTAGGAATTTGATATTGAATAACTCTTTATCTTTAGACCCCTTTTTCAATACAAAGAACTGTTTTCAAGGAGATTCCATAACTCTTAACTCTCTCATTCTATGAAAAAAGAAATAGATCTCTTCATTAAGAAGATGTAAAGCTTTATTTCTTAACCAATTCATTATTCAAGGAAATTTTTTAATAGAATATTATGACCTTTCTCTTAAAACCAGTAATCCCAATAGAGAAGCTATCTTAGAATGGTTTATTGCTTTACAAAAAAATTGTTTTTCTGAATCCCATATATTCAAACTGTCTCAAACTTAAATATTGTATTAATAATTTTATTCCTCAAGACTACATTACTGCTTTCACCTCTGATAATGAAAAAAAATCTTCCTGGATAGCTCTGTGAATACCACCAAAACAAAATTATTACAATTTACCTTATTCTAACCAAGATATTATTGAAAAAGCTGTCAGATCCTATTTTGTTTCTAATAAAGTTACTATATAACACTATGTCAACAATTCAGCTCTCAATTACGATCCTAGATTAATATTCAAAAAATAAAATTATTTTACTTTATGTTCAGAATATTCTTTTAACTTACTGAAGCCCATTTTTAACTTTAACGTATCAGTCATCACTTGGCTTTATAATAATGTTATTGATGATGAATTTTCTCAAATAATAGAAATCACCTATTTTTTCTCTGTTAATAACAACAAATTATACCTTTTCAAAAGAAATATTTGGTTAATTATTGATTAAACAAAACAACACTATTTAACAATATATTTTTCTATTGTCATACTAAATAATCTTATTCTTAGTGCTCTGCTCTTTATTATCATTTCCAATTTATTTTCAAATAATAGTGTCAATTCATCCTTACTAAAATGAATGATCTCTTATATTTTACACAAACAGTTCTCACAAATTTGTTCATTTACCTTTTATATCATATTTATTTTCTGTA